GTGTGCAGAACGCTTGGGAATTCACTGTGGTCAGCATGCAGCACGACTGTATGGAATTGCACTTGAGCAGCTTCCCAGGTCTCCGCAGGCTGAAAGACGTTTACCGTAATCGCTATGAGGGGGCCGTTAATGATGCAAGAGTGAGCATAGGTACTTGCAAGAAGGTCTGAGTAAAGAAATGGACTCTAATGTTTTCTGTTCAAGTAAAGCTGACGTGAAAAATATGTGTTACTTATGGCTTAGTTTTCCTAAATATAAGAAGAGTGACGAGATTAGGCATCATACCCAAGATTAGATATAATACACAGGATTAGGCATTTCATAGCACATGGGTAGAACAAATAATATTTAAAAAATAAAAGAATCAGTTGAAAATAATTGAAGAGTGATGTCATAGATAAAATAGAAAGTAAGTACTGGGCATTTGTAGAGTGCTCTCCTTTACCGGCAAGCCCTCCAGACCTTGTAACAACTTGTTGAGGTGCATGTGGCCGAGCTTGCTGTCATTCCTCCTGTGTTGTCATTGAGAGCTGCCCAAGGTTGTGTCACATCTTAGAGCATAGCTAGGAAGAGCACGCACACTTCTGGTAGAGTATGCCTACGACGATACCTGTCTGTGTTTCTCGAGAGTGCAGCAGGACGTGCATCTAACGTGGATGACCGTGACTGCAGTGTGGCTGGGGCTAATAGCACGAGTCTCTCCTCACCAGAGACCAGATTTAGACTGCGCCTTCTGATCATTACTGCTTGCCCAGACCTTTCATTTCACTATATGATCATCAGAACTTACCAGAACATTCTAAAAACAAGGTTTGAATCTGTCTGTCCATCCATCTGCCCAACCGTGTTGACACCCAGTCAGTAAACTAATTATTTTGTGTAGTTGCCTATTTTCCCATAATGCACTAATGCACTGTGTCATTCCCCTTTCCCGTCCCAATGCTCAAACTGTATTTCTGACAGAGGAGGAGGATGGGGCAGGGTGACAATTGCTTTGAACATTAGCTGTGTGTGATAAGTTGCCTAGTAATCTCCACAGCACCACCATGCATATGCTAAAAGTGTTCAGGGCATTGTAATTTGGGAGGATTTCCAATCTTTCATAAATAACCATTAATCTGTCCCTTCTACATTGAGCTTTCCACATCTGGTTTAGATTGTGCAGTGCTATTCCCGGAGTGCATTAAAGCTCCAATCCAGGTAGAATTAGGGGGATAAATGAGCCACAGGGAAGAGATACAGTGTTTTTCTTAAAGCAGTTCCTTCTTATTTTTACAAAGTTATGAGCCAAGCAATTTATGATTAAGAGTTTTGGAGGATGCACTCTGCCATTTTAAGCCTTCCTTGTCTATGGGTTTAAAAATGCAGTTTTAACTCTGGTATCCTGACACATATTAACGTTTTTCTCTATACTGGTAGATTGTAAGTTTCATTTAAATAAGAACCTGTGAAGAAGATTTAATTCATTATGATTCACTGTGGATTCTCTTTGATGAAAAATGAGGAATAGTTAAAACCTAAGGTCAATTAGAAATAAATAAGTTTCTGACTATGCATTTATATTTGTGATATTCAGAAACTTAAGCGAAAGTTGTCAATAATTTTAACTTGATTTATTTCTAAGGGAAGGGATTGGATTTTCAGGGAATAAGGCATTATTTTTGAATTTTAATTTATTATTTTCTTTGTGTTTGATTCAGTTTATTTAATGCATTCATAAAAGCACATCATTTCTCACCATATGCAACCTAGTCTTTCTCAGGTACTTTCCAAAAATAGTGTTTTTGTAAAGATGACCCAATCTGTAATGTTAGACTTACCAAAGTTAAGTTTAAAAAACACGATACAAAGATACCCTGCGGAATAAAAGCATATGAAGATAGCACTAGGGAATGGCACATAATATGAAAAAGTAATGTTTTCAAGATGACCTTGGAGGTGATGAGAAGCTTGTAGAACAAGTATCAGGCAGCAGGGTACCTAAAAGATGCTTCCCTCTCTCTGGCATTTCTAATGGGCATAAGAACAATGACAAGCTGATTATCTGACTCAGAATAAAATGCCCACACAGGAATGCAAAGAAGTAGGAAATTCAGCACGTGTCTCCTACCAAGGTTAGTAAAAATCTCATAGATAGGCCCTCACGGGAAGTGCACTAAATCACCGGCTGTAAAGACCGTCTATTTCATAGTTACAGCCTGCAGCTCCATCCACGCGTAGGGGACTGACAGCTGCTCCACCCATTAGTATTAATGAATTACCAAGCACATCCCACTCACGGCCGCCGCAGAGCCCAAGACATCCTTCCCACGCACGGCCTTGTTTTGAATTCTCCAAATGTTGTAGGGTGGCTATTTCCTTAATAAGGCTAAATCATCAAGTAACACACATGTTTCACTCCCGTGGTTAAAACTGATGCCTGACAGAAATTACTGAGGAATTGTCACTTGATTCATTTATTAAAATAGATTGAATCATCTCTCACCTCTCTGTCATCTAAGGCATGTGTGTGACTATTAATGAAGTGTAACTGTACTACCAGGGTATTTAATTTAAAAGAAAAAGTAATTCGGAATGACCATGGCAATGGTGAAGTTTTTCCCCAGCTGAAAGACCCCTAATAGGGCCTTTGAAGTGAGGCGAGACCAAAAGCGATGACCACTGATACTGCTCATTATCGACCGGGACCCGCCGCAGCCTCCATTCATGCCTTTTATCCTGGTGTGATTGCTAATGACTACTCAATGAATTCTTAAAAGGTCTGGTGTGGATTGAAAATTGTATGTTAATCCAGTTTGGGTCATTTCTTACACATCCATGCCCACTTCTTCAACCATCTAAGATAATTTTAGCTTTATTCTTGCCCCCTTTTATGGACTGCTACTAAAAAGGGACAAAGGAAACGTGGCCAGGCCACATACTTCTTCAGAGAGCCTCCCAGTCTTCATTCTTTGTGCTCTCGTCTCTCTTCTGTTCGGTGACACTGCACTCCCAGAACACACTTCTCTTGTCAGATGTCAGAGATAGGTCAGGGAATGTCTGCATATCCATAATATTTTCATCGAGAAACAGGCAGCATAATGATTCTTCGTGGCTGACTGTAAAAACAGTGCGATGTGTATTTGTTGTTTTCACTAAAGAAGTGTCATATCACTTGGTGACATGGGATTATCAGCTTGAGAAATGGCTCGATTCACACATTCACTAAGCGTCTGCAATGTGGCCTACGTTGGGTTACACAAGCGTGACTGAGCCGCGGTCCCTGCTGTCACAGAGCTGTGTCCCAGTGGTGAGAACCGCGTGGAGTGGAAAGGCAGGCGCCACATTGCTGCTGCTTGTGCAGAACTAAGAGGACAGGAAGGTGCCCTGGAAGGACGGGCAGAAAGCTCAGGCTGCTCTGCAGCTCGGGACGCGTCCCAGGAGAGACGTTGGCGAGGTTGCGTGCCAGGAGGCATGCGCCCTGTAGAGGAGGAACGGAGGGACAGCGCTGCTTTGCGGAGGCAGACGGGATCGCGCTGGCCTCCAGCACCGTCGCACAAATGTCACCGCTGCTCCCCAACTCCACATTCTGCAGGACAACTTTCTGGTGTCCTTCTGATAAAGAATGGAAGTTGATAGTTCACATTCTTGTCAGAGCCATCGTTTTGCCAATTTTTTGATAAACCTTCAAATACCATTTGGAAAACTCATAAATCTCTCTGGCCTTTCCTCTGCAAAATAAACTTCTTTCAGTACATTCTCAAAGGTCTTATTTTTCTTTAAGAAAAAAATCATTTCTGTTATTTTTCTGAGTTCAGTCGTTGTACAGTCCTCCCCGTCCCCACCCCTGTATCTTATGCTGGGAGCATCATCGTGCTGTACAGAGAGGCACGACCGGTGAGACCGTTCCCAAATGTCATTCTTATTTACTTGTGCCTCAGTGTTCTGCAAGCAGTAGAGTGCCGCACCCCCAACGGGACAGAAGGGACGCTTCATGCCCCCTCAACTCTGCCGTGCTGTCACCGCCCCTAGTGTGGGTCTGCGCCCTCCTGGCGCTTTCCCTTCTGATTCCTGCCTACACTGATTCGCTCAGTGTGGCCTGTGTCTCCACTTTTCCTTCCGAGTGCTGTTGGTCTGCTTTCCGGATCCGCCTCTGCACGGCACTCGTCTAAGCCGGTGTCTGTTTGCATGGGCTGTGGCGTTGTCCCCTCAGCCCACCCTGCACGTTTCTCTCCCTGCTCAACTCGCGCGCTTACTCGTCCGAGTCTCAGCCCAGGGCAGCCTCGCAGACCTGCGTTCAGCCGTGCTGTGCGCACCTGTTCCTCCCTGTCTGCTCCCTAACAAGTGCTCGGTGCAAAGCCACGCCCGCCTCTCGGCCTCCTTCCCATCAGTGCCAGCTGTAGTCTCCAAAGGCGCACCGTCAACTGTGATAACGTTCAGCACCACGGTCAGGCTGGTTCTTGCGACCATTCAGCGTGATTTCCTGCCGTCTTCCTTTGCGAACGCTGCCCAGAGGCAGCACAGAGCTCTCCAGCTGGAGGTGTGGGCTGGAATTCTGCTTCTGGCCTTTGTCAGCTCTGTGACTGCGGGTAAAATACTTTACCTTCTCTACATCTCATCTTCCTCACCTATAAAATTGGGATAACGGTGGGTCTACCACAGAGGATCACTGTGTGGATCAAGCACAGTGTTGCGCGTCTGGCACACAGCGATGTTTCCGTATGCATTAGCCATCCTTAGAAGCCATCTCTACGCAGGATTGAGGGACGGAAAGGTCATGACGCTCAATGGCACATTGAAAGATGTGAATTATTTTATCACCATTACCTGAAACCACTGTAAAGTTTGAAATGTAATAAGAGGAGCCCTGTTGCTGCTGGCTGTCCCAAGACACGGTGAGAGCCTGCTTAGCACCGGATGACCAAGGGAGGGACACTGAGGAGCTGAGGTAACAGCGCCAAGTGAGCAGCGCTCTCCCGTCACCGCGTGCCCTCACCCTTGGAATTTCTTCTCTACTTTAGGGTAGAAATTTAGCCTCGAGAGAGGTGGGATTCTTCCCCAGCGATGCTGTGAAGCCCTCCCCATGTGTAAGTACTACTTCTTTATTTTTCTCTTGCTCTCTTTTCCTTTTGAGGCTGTGATGAGTTGTGCAAGAATGTACAAAAGATGCTGCCATGTCACTCATTCATGTTAACAGTATTTTCTCTGAAGGATCTTGTCCACATCATTACCATGGGCAGAAAATATTTTCAAATGTTAAGTAAATATATGCAAGGAGAAAATTTAATTCGATTTACAAAATTAAGTCGTTAAAGAATTTTAGAAGATATAAGGCAAATCTCTGGATTGGACATATTGTTTAAGCACGTATAATCTATCCCAGCCACTTAGGTTAGGTGCATGGTAACGCAACAGACGTCATCTGGTGTCTTGGAGAGCAGGCTCAGCAGGGAAAGGCCCACGAATCCCGCAGTCAGATCTTTGAATTTTGTGTGTTTTGGTGTGCTTTATTTAATACCATGATGACATTTTCCAGCAACATCAAACACATGAAGGAAAATGAATTAATGTTTATTCAACTAAGATAGGTGAATGTGACATAAAATATACTTTCTGGTTCTTCATAAGCTGCTAAATTTTGCTGTCATGAATTTTACATTATAGTTGTAGATTGGGGTAGAGTTTTCCAAAAAAAACTTGTGATTTTTTTTTGAGAATTTATTTGTTTATTTATTTTTAATGAATTTAGGGTAGGGCCTACAGGGTCTCACTACATACATCAGACTCATAGCGATTCTCCTGTTTTCAGCCTCCCAAGAGCTGGGATTATAGGCATGTGCCACCATGCCCAATTTCAATCATAGTCTCTGCATGCCCTGAGGGCGGGACCAGCATGGCAGGCCGGGGATTGAACCCATGTCCCCTGCATCTGCCTAAGCAGGTGCTTTAATATGCTGAGCTATTTGACTGGCCCTCCCAAAACCTTTTTAAAGTGTTCTAAGTCCAAAGCAAATAAAAACTTCTACTAATATGGTGAAGTTGATTTCTTGGGGGGAAAAAACCCTCAAAACTCTGATCTTTCTTGCTAATTTTCAGTAGTTTCTATATTGCTAAAATAAACATTCTTTTTATTATTAAAAATGTACATGTTTTCTACCTTTGATTTCACAGTGTAATCTCTAATATATTTTACTGCCTTCTAGCTTTATTATTTTCAAAAGCAGAAGAGATGCAAAGAGGATTTGCTCTCCTTTTGGTTTTGTGTTGTAACGTCACTTGCTCTGTCTTGAATAATGTTATAATTTTGAAGTTGAAGTGTGCTACTACTCTTGTTTAACTAGATAAGCAAACGTGATTTTTTGGTAAGTTGTCTGCCATCTATGAGCAAGATGCAGGCTTCCTCTGTAAAGCGCTGACTCCCGTGTAGGCATGTGGCAGGGATGAGACACATCAAGATGTTTGGGGGCCGAAAGGCGTCACATCCAGACTTGGAGCATTTCATATAGCGAACGTTCTTGACGGTCTGTGGCCTCTTGAGAATGGCACGGAACGAGCACTTGCAGTTTTGTTTTAGAGAGTCTGGCATGAAGTGAGTTCTTGAAAGTTATTATTGAGTGAACGAACAAAGGAGCAAGAAATGTAAGCAGTTGTATAGTAATGTAAAATTATATAATCAAATAAATATGATCATTTTATAGCTTAAAGTTAATAAGTAGCTATTACAGTTTTACTGCTTAGTTGATGAAATTGTGTTTGTTTGTTGGTTATAGGACAAGTTAAGTGAAGATAAGTAGGAAGAGGAAGAGGAAGGATAAGACAGGGGTGTGGAAAATGCTATTGTTTTGACCCTGGAATATATTATTACCAGAGGTCCAACGGTAATGCTGAATATTTTATTTTGAGCTTAAAAATTATTTACCAGCATATGCCATGCTCGTCTCAAACATTCTGGTGTACACAGGTCAGAACCTAGAACTGGCAAAAACATGAGGAACACAAAAACGAGAGTGTATTTTGGGAAGTTTCATGACAGGAAGCAAAGCCTGGTGCTACAGCACAGCACAAACTCGGTTATCTTTTTGCATCTAGGAGCCCTCAGGGGAAAAAAAATCTCACAGAAAAATAGACTGCCTACTTTTGTCTTGGCTCTGAATTGGGCAGGAAAAAAATAAGAATGCATTCCCCTGAGAATTATTAACTTCACTCTAAAATCCATCCAAATGTCAACCTGGAATCTCTCCTAGCTCTGTGATCTCATAGTGTATGGTAGAAATACATTTTTAAATTATTCTATCTGGATTCCCATGAAAATAAAGGTTCTTTCTGGATTGGAGCCTCTTCACATATAGTCCTCAAAGAACTTTCACAGGCAAAGTCTAGCAAATGGATCCACCATTGGTAATCATTAAATTTCTAAGAAGATACACCATTTTAATTCAAGGTCAGCAGGTAGCACTAGACTATTTAAAAAAATACTGGACCCCTCCTTACAGGACAGCAGATACTAAAATTACTGGATACTAAATTCAAAATTTCATATTTAAGGTGGTTGAAGATAAAAAGGGGTTAAACATCTAAGAGGATCACAAGACACTATTCAAGTCAGCATATTTCAGACATACTAATTTAATTCAGAGTCTTAATGACCACGTTCTGTGCCACATCAGATACCGTTGTGAAGAAAATTAGAAGAAATATATGAAGAAATTTCTCAGAATAGTTCAAAGAGATTAAGAAATGGAAAATGTAACAGAGAGTGAATAGGATTCCCATACATTTAATAGAGATTCGAGATAATCGTGCTGAAGCAATAGTCAAGTAAGTAATAACTGATCTCTTTCCAGAACCTATGATTAAATTAATATTAAGAATCAAAAAGTATATTAAAATTAATCGACATCTTGACACACTTTAATGAAACTTCAAGATGTTAAAGACAAAATATAAAAGCCAACCTATAAAAGAGTGCCTATAAATAGTTGGTGATCCAATATGTGAGGAAAAGCAGCAAGTTTCCGCAGTGGAGAATGTTGGTTAGCTCCTGTCACACCCAGCCTTCCACAGGTAACAGCTCTGCGCTTTGGACACAAGATAGAAATAAAAGCGTGTCTGTGAAGGCACAGGCCGGGACCCTTGCAAGTCGGCCAAGGGCATTTATTGAGTGAGTGGCCTGGTTCTGTGGCCAACTTGCGGGCACATTAGTTCTGGCATGTGGCCTTCGGAATGGCTGAAATTCATGCAGAAACCATGTGACACTTATGGCTTGGAGAACCAGAATATGGAATCTGATGCAAGCACAGCAGCTGGAACCGAAGATAGGAACTCTTAGAAAGGGAAGACTGTGAGGCGAACCTCCCATTCCGCACAGAGCCCCTCCCTAAGCCTCTGGTAAGTGGTGGAGTTGTGAACTGTGTGGCCCACGCTGAAAGCACGAAACGGGATTCGGCAGTCGCTTAGCATGGGCGGTGGAGACTGTGGTGTGAAAAAGCACGTTCGTTGCCGTAGAACAGAACCCGGAATTTCAGTCTCACAGTGTACCATCGAGGCTTGTGGACACCATCCAGGATTTGTCATGATGCAGGAACTAGGAGCCATGAATCACCCTGGAAAGGAAAGGCGCCTGAGGGAGATCCAGCTTGAGGTGGCCGCGTGCTGGTGTCAGCAGGGAAGGGTTGCAAAGGCAGCCGTTAGAAATGTACGGAGGTGCGTTCACAGGGAAGAAGTAGCAGGAAGCCTGGCCAGAGAAACAGGGCCTGAGAGCAAGCACCAACCAGACTTTCTGAAACGCGGAATTATAATACTTGAAAGAATAAAACACGTTGAATATTTTAAGAGAAGAAAATTGCTGTTTAAAGGTGAGCTCTCCTGCATGGAGACACTTCCGGTCAAGCAGAGAGACCATTTCTCGTTGGCCCACCTCACTTTACACGATGCACTCAAGAAGAACGTGTGGGAGCCAGGTGCCCAAGAAGGGAGTTCGAAAGTACTGTTTGTCTTTAGCAGAAATTTAATGATACAAACTGTCTATGGAGATGACAGGAAGTGACATTAGGGAATAATCCTGATCATACACTCAGAGATGAGAGGATTCAGAAGGACAGCGTCTGGAGTCTTCAATAGAAAGCGTCTATCAAGACCGGGATCTGAAGTACACAGAAGACAGATAGGGAGGGCCCGTGACAGAGGAGAATGGGACCCCACTCTGCGTGGGGATCGTGGATGGGAAGGTGCTCCTGGGTCTTCACATAGAGACTGAGGAGAGGGAGAGCCCCAGGAGAACGCTGCAGGCCGGGACAGTCTCAGTTCTCTCTTCTGCCTGAATCATACATCACGCTTCAACTTTCTGGGTCTCTACCGATCAGAAGAGTCCACAGCGAGAAGCTATGTTAAAAATCTGAGTCTGAGTCAGAGTCTCTGTCTCTGTCTGTCCCTCCCTCCTTTCTTCCCTCCCTCCCTCCTTCCCTTCCTCCCTCCTCCCTCCTCCCTTCTCTCCCCCTCCCTCCTTCCCTTCCTCCCTCCTCCCTTCTCTCCCTCCCTCCTCCCTTCTCTCTCCCTCCCTCTTCCCCTCTTTCTCTCCCCTCCCTCCTTCCCTCCCTCCCTCCCTTACTCCCCATGGAGTGTTACAGGCAAGGTAAAGAAGAAAGATTACTCTTCTTTCTGATTTCAGGAACCATATATATCTTATCTAAAACAGAAAACATTGAAGATCAATTTTTATTTGTAAAAATAAACTATATGAAAAAAAATTGCAGAACTTTAATGGATATTTTACCTTCAGTAATTGTTATGTATTATGATTTTATAAAGTATTATTAAAAATACATAACTCAGAGGATTAAAAATATGTAAATATTAATAGCTATAGGAATGTTCTGACCAGAATAGTATTTTTCAAAATGTAAAACTCTAGAAGAACAAAATTATATTAATCTGTTATGAAAATTAGCTTATCTAGAGACATATTGACTAAATCTCTAAAATGCTGTAACCTATGTTAAAAGTAAAGGTAATAAAAATTTTTCATCAACCAACATAGGAAAGCTCAGGAATACTATACAATGTATACATAAGAGACTTACATGATTCATGAGAAATTTCTTAGCACAAGAAAATATATCCTCCATCTTTTCCCAGGAACGTATAAGTTGTCCCCCTCTCTGCAGTTTGTGCTTTGTTGTTTCATGAATACCAGTAGACCTTTGGGCTTTGTTCATTTCCTAGTGGGCATCAGCACCTAGAAAATGCAACCTTTTTGTCTTGTGCAAAGCCCTATCGGAGAAAGGGGAAAATGGCTATTTTCCATGTTATTTCCCTGAAGAAAAGGTTTCTAGTTGTGAGATGTTAAAGACCAGAAAAATGTAGACTCTGTGTAACCCGATTCAGGCGCCCTCCGCACAGAGCGTTTGTGCTGCATATTTTCCCAAAATGTCTTGGAAAGTGAAGCACTGTGTGGCTACCTTAATCTTATTTTCATTTTAGTTTTCTATGGGAGGATTACATTGCCTTAAAAATAAATATTGGAAGTTTCTAGTTTGTATTTTCCTGCTATCTTCTCTCTTGGAGATACAGTGGCAGTAAAATGAATGAAAGAATGAATTAAAGCGAAATGAATTATTTTCTACTTACCTGACATGTGCTGTGATTCATTCTGTGTAGAACTGCCCGGGGATAGTTCTAGGAGTGTGTCACTTAAGGGTTTTATAGAGCTGAGTCAGCGGAACCGAATTGATGATTGATTTCTAAAAGCTTCCCCTAAGTAAACTTAATCTATTTTTGCCTTTTTATATTTTAGGTGCCCAAACCAGTAGATTATTCTTGCCAACCCTGGTAAGTATTAAAAATGTTTATGTGGCTAAGTTGAAATACTGTACCTCAGCTCGAGGATGCCTTCGTCGTAAACTGTTGCATTTCCATTTGGCTTGGCCGACGGTATTTTCGCACGTAACAGACACCGTCATGAAGCCCTGTTGCCGACCTTCCTGTGTCTGTAGGGCGCGTGGTGTGTGGCTGGCGTCTGTGACCCTGAGTGCCCTTGACTGGGAACCGCACGCTCGTGTCGCAGCCACGGAAGGCAGGGAGCGCAGGCAGACGGGCACCAGTGTGCAGAAAGGTGAAGTCCGTTACGCGGGAGCGTAATGACAGCCGAGTCCACTGCTTGAAGCAGAGAATTAGCCCGTGAGGCTAGTAGGTCTTAGAACTGGAAGGTACAACCTGTGATGTAGCAGTGGTGCCGTGTGCCCGCGTCTGGTACGGGCCTAGCAGAGAGCGCTTTTCCCTTGGAGGCCGGAAGGACAGTTCACAGACTCACCTGCGAGGAGAGGGTGATTCTTTTCCTTAGATATGTTCAAGTATAAAAGTTGCACTTGCGCTCCAGAGCAGCCGTAGCTGTCGCCATCACAGACTTGCTAGCGCGCCTCGGTTGCGGAGGGTGTGTCCAGTGCGCACAAGTGTTCTTTCTTTTGTTTCCCCTGTAGTTTGGTGAGGCAGATTGGGCAAAGGCACTGTCGTAGTGCAGATAGCAGTGGAAGGCTAGCGTGTGCAGCCCCAGTAGGGGCAGGACTCCAGGACAGCTCTGCCCCTGCCGTGCCCACCCAAAGCACAAAGCTTGGCAGTGTGCTTCTCACTCACTTGTGCCTCCTTCAGTTTACATTTAGTTCCTCTTAAAATGACCAAATGTGAGGGTTTCCCAATATTTAAATGTGTGCATGCAAATCAAAAATGAGGATGCAAATACAAATGGAAGATCCTGAGAGTAGGCACTGTAACTCAGTGTCTGGGTGTAGACAGCACCGAGTTGTCAGCTATTTGTAACATGATTTGATTGTTTTCTGTTGTCATCAAAATATGCAAAACACGAGACCAGCTTTTCAGTGACCAGGAATTGGTTACCCCAGACGTGGTCCTTTCTCTCGCAGGCCCGCTCCCCCTCCACAGTCTTGTCCATCCACCCTGTAGCCTTCATGCACCCCTGTGCTGTGTAGCTCCAGGATGGAGTGCTGAACTTGCTCAGGGAGGTGTGACATGTCTATAACAGAAACGGGAATCCTTGCTACCTTTTTACCTGATGTAAGACTGTCCTGAGGTCCTAGTTTCTACGGGATTTAAAACTGCAGTCTTGACAGGAACTAAATTAGGATGCTGGCGCTAACAGCATGGACCAGCAAACCAAGAAGATAACAGGAGCTGAAAAAATCATGAAAGTGTAGTGACAAGGTTTCTTGTTTCCTCCTTCCATTGTTCCCGGAACTTGGCTTTATTGTTACGAAGGTCTTGGTTGTAGAGATGCATACTAGTGCTGCAAAACTACACAGATCGGTGAAATGAGCTCAGTAGGCGCCTGGGGGCCAGTCAGGGCACAGAGGAGAGGCTTTGGACCCTTTGTTTTACGAGGGACCTTTGTCATATGGGAAATTCTACTGAACATGTGGTCAGTTAGAACAGTATTATTCAGAATGGTAAAAAAAAAAAAGAGGGCTGGTGAGATGGCTCAGTGGTCTAAAGCACCTACTTGGAACAAGCTTAGCAAAGCACAGGGACCGCGGTTCAATCCCCCAGCACCACATGCCAGCCAGCCCCGCCCCCTGGTGGGCTGAGCTGGCCACACACACACACACACAAATAAAATTAAAAAAAAAGATATTGAGACAAAGGAAGAGCTTCAAAAATAGGAAGTAATAAAGATACTTCATGGTAGAATTGTAAAATTACTTTTTATTCTCCTTTAACTAACTTGAACATTTTTTTTTTCAAATTAAGCAGACAGTTTCATGTGCAATGCCTTCTGCTAAGGAACAAGATGGTCAGCTACACCACACACTGAAACTATCAATCTTAGGTAGACTAAAATGTTTAGAAAATTGCACTGAGTAATGGCATGATTATTCTCAAATACATATCACCAACTATATTTCTGTTTTCTATTTCCCCCTTTTAGGTGTTTCCTCATATAAAATGAATTTTGTTTCTTATAACAGCCATAAATTAAAATGTAAAATCAAGGTGATTGTCTTCAATAATCTATGTTTTAGGACTTCAAAAGACAGGGAAATATTTCAAAACTAAGCAACTCTGAAAATTGGTTAGCAAAATTGTGGACTGTAAGAATTAATATTATACCCAGAGAATATTTTAAAATAATTTTAATTGTTACTAGATCCTTAAAAAGATGCTTGTCTCAGTTACTCTTCTCTCATTTCTGGGACAAAATACCTGACACCCTAAGTTAAGGAGGGCAAGATTTTCCAGCTCACAGTTAGTGGAGGTTTCAGTCCACACTCAGCTGGCTCCAAGGCAGAGTGGCGCCTGGCAGAGGGCAGCAGCTCATGGCAGTGGAAAACAGCAAAGAGCAAAGGGAGGAGCAGCAGCTGCAGCAGCCAGCAAGCCCCTCTCCCCTCCTTACATTGTACACACCCATAATCCCAGCAGTGGCTCATGAATTAATCGCAGACTCTAGAAGCTGCCCCAATGACTGCATGAGGCTTTGAGGGGACAATTAGACACAAACCATAACGATGCCTGAATGAGATTTTGTAATATGCATAAAAGGGGTGTGTGTGTGTGTGTGTGTGTGTGTGTGTATCTGTATCTGTCTGTCTGTCTGTCTGTCTTAGGCAGGTAGTCTCTCCCACAGCTCTTTTCCCTAATTACCCCTAAATTCTCAACAATTATCTTTTCTGATTCAGCAACTACTGACCCTTCTCTTTGTCCCGTTGATTTGTTTGGTAAATATTTACTAACCAGTTATTATGTATTAGGCATTGTTCACTTGACTGTTAGCTTGTAAAACATTTGTGTTTGGATGTATTAGAAGACTTTTTAATCTGAATTTTTAAAGAAGAGCAATTAGCAAAAACAGCCCAGATCTGCCGCTAAATTAAAATCTTGACAGGTTTGTATTAGCCTCTGTTGTCTTTCAAGTACATTGTTAAGATTTTCTGTGTTATTGTTTCTTACAGGTATGCTGGAGCAATGGAAAGATTGCAGGCAGAGACTGAACTTATTAATAGGGTAAATAGTACTTACCTTGTGAGGCACAGGACCAAAGAGTCAGGAGAATATGCAATTAGCATTAAGTAAGTAGGACAAGCACTTTTACAGAAATAGATTTCCTGTTTTCATAATTGCATAGAGCGTCTGATGCGCATCATAGTGAAGTGGAAAACTGAGGTTCTAATTGCTGCAGAAACCCTGCATCTATCCAGGCAGTTCATTAATACTTGAAAATACCTGTTACAAAACAGTCGTATGTGTTATAGGCTGCTAATTGGCATATTAGAATCCTTTCATGATATTATATTTTGTTGACTTGATGTGTGTACGTTTCTAGTAAATTCTAAGAGTATAAGTTACTAGACTGTCTTGTTCTATTTTTGCCTTCTCAAACTGAACTAAGTAAATTAAACAGAACAATTGGTCAAATCCAAACTCCATCTCAACTCAAATATTAGTTGTATTTTCAACCGATCTAGAAAATATATTTGGTTAATTAGCTGATGTCATTGTATTGGCATAGATATATATTTTGTCTTCAGAATTCTATAATGTTATCGGGGCATGCCCTCTGGTAATTATTGATTTCTACTGATTAAAAACACATTTATATTCAAAAGTTATTCATTGCCCACAGGTACAATAATGAAGCAAAGCACATCAAGATTTTAACAAGAGATGGTTTTTTTCATATTGCAGAAAATAGAAAATTTAAAAGTTTAATGGTAAGTATTGATTATTTCTGTTCGATCTATGAGGTTTTCTTTTCTTGTTAGAAAGGCCAGTTAAATTTTATAGTTTCTTGGATACTTTGCTTAGTGAAAATTTATTTAAAAGATAGTCATAGTGTAAATTTTGTAATGAGATTCCAAAATTTCTAACTTTAAAAACCCCAATTAAGTTTCCTGTTGTTCACATCACTTTTCACTGCATTTTAGGTTTGCAAGGTTAGTTCGTATCTTAGATTCTACACTGTTGAAGACCCTTGGTGTAAGGACAGCTTCACATAGCGACTTCCCATCATTGGGGCGAGTCTCAGCTGGTGCTTGGGTGGAGCCCTGCAGACTTGTGCTGTGCCTTTTGTCCTTCCTTAGTTTACTTTGATCTCCTCATTTGGCCAAAGGAAGGCATTGTCAAGTATGACATTATCGTTAATAAAGTGCCTGTCACATTCAATTTCATTGCATCAATGTGCAGTGGGAAGTCAGAGTGGTGAGATTCCTTTCTTTCACTTTTCTTGCTTTCTGAATTGTGCAGGTAAGCGTACGCCCCCTGCTTTCCACACAACAGTCAATATTTAATAGAAATTGTATATTTAAGCGGAAATCATGTAGTTTATAGATTGCTTCAAAAGAGCAACAGTTGCTTGACTGATTCCTATAACCTTTAAAGAGCTGGTTGGAGAAGAGGGAGGGAAGGGCAGGGGATGGACAAAAGAGCTCAGATGTATTGTGCAGGTGTACTGAGTGCACGCAAAGAGTGTGAACACTGTGTACTGCACGTGTGTCAGGATCAAATAATTTTTAATAGGAAGCTGAATAAACGATGTGAATTGATAATCAAAAGTTAGTTTCTAGTTTTATTAGTACATAGGAATATTCTATATATGTCATGAATAATGCATAATCTCATATATGCTAATCATGCACATATGTCATATATGCTAATAAGGAAAACATCATTACTTTCTTAAAGGTGGTCTCGTGTGTTTCTCTAGTTAGGGAATTTTTTTGAGATAATGAAGAATTTAGATATAGGACATTAGATACATTTGCAGCTGCTACGCTTCTTGAGTAGCATTGGGGAAGACCGCTCCCTGATTGAAACATCAGCCAAGGGCCGGATGTAGCTCGGTGCTGCAGCGTCTGCCTGGCAAGCACCATGTCCTGAGTTCAATTCCCAGTACCAAAAGAAACAAAAAGACACTCACTATGTCCTTCTGGAAAACATCAGAAAGCACTTTGCAGATGTTAATGTTAAAGCCGAGCGTAAGGAAGCTGTCCAGATTAGCCCAGCATCAGTGCCTTCCCCTAAACCTGGGCCCTGTTTCTAGACAAGGGTATGTGTTATTATTTCTGCCATTGTTTTTAAAAAAGAAGCATTTTTCAATCACAAGCTGGGAAAACTGTTTGCGTGAAAGTGAAAATAGACTTTCTGACCTGAAAGACACCATTGCAG